ATTAATATAAATATAGAATATTTTTATTAATGTCTGTTAATCAAAATAATCTAAATGAAATTTATCTAATATTTATTTATTTTAAAATAAATTAGTCTTTAAATATAGAATATTTTTATGAATGTTAATTAATTCAAAAATCAAAATGAATTTTATCAATTATTAATTAATCATAGAATTAACTAATACATAAATATAGAATATTTTTATGAATATGTTATTATTTAAAAAATTAAAGATGAAATTTATTTAATATTGATATATTATCAAATAAATTAATAAGTAAATTTTGAATATTTTTATGAATTTCTATTATTATAAACAAGAAAAATGAAATTATAAATAATCTCATTAAATATCGAATAATGTTATGAATGTCTATCAATTTGAACAACAATAAGAAAATAATCTATTATTCATTATTTATTGAATCAATTAATTATTAAATACATTATTTTTATATGAATGTATTTAAATTAAAAAATAAAAATTAAATTAAAAAACTATTCATTAATATATATTAATTTGTGAATTTTGTATTTTTAAATTCATAAATTCATTTTTTAAATTGTTTATTAATAGATAAAGTTTGCGAATCTTTGATTTATAACAGATTAAATGGATTTTGTTAATTTTTTCATTTATGATATAATTAAAATATCAATCTCACATTATTATATTTTATCATATTTTTTATAAAAATCATCAATCATTTTTATAACAATCTAACTTTATGTTTTTAAATATTAATTATAAAAATGTTTGTTAATTTAAAATAATAGTATTTATTTTAAATAATTATTACTAGTATAATTTAGAATATATTACTTAAAATTATTGAATCATAGATTTGTAAGTCATATTGAAAAAGGATAAAGTCAAATTTTGGCAATAATTAATATTAAAAAAAATGCAAGTAATTAAATTTAGTGGAAAAATTTATAACTCACATTATTTCACTTCAAAAATTTTATCAAAATAAATATCAATGAATTTGAATTGCAGCCTATTTTTTTGATTCAAAATTAAAGTGTTAAACTTGAAAAACCATTTAATTAAAAATAAAAAAAATACTATTATATTCTTTCTCCTTTTGAAAATTATTAATACGGTAGCAGCTATTCAATTAATTTTTTATCTAAACTATTGATGATCATTATTTTAATAAATTGTGAAATCATATTTTTTATCCAACTACTGAATCTAACTTGAGAAAATAAGATAATTAAATATATGAATTGATATAATAAAAGCTAAATTGATAATAATCATTAAATTTAGATTTGTGAATCGAATGTTTGTTGATTATTGATTTTTCTAGCCTCATCTATTTAAATTTCTCTAATATTTGAAGGCATATTTAAAATTTTAGGTGAATTTTCTTATTAGCATGTTTATTCCTGTGAATGGGAGTTTGGTGACCTAAAATGATGAATTTATTAATTACAGTAATTGTTAAGGTAGTAAATTATTGCCAAAAGCATTATTTTCTTTGGTTGCATTCAATTTGTTTGAATAATATGATGTAATCATTTTGAACTATTGATGGTCATTTTCTGTTTCATTTAGTTTTCTTAATTCATTAATGTATTAAAATTTTTAGGTTAGTTAACCATGTAGTGTAACAGTTGCATTTTACAAAAACTCAGGTAATCCGCTTTCTTCTAATGGTTTGGTAGGGTCTGAATAGGCTAAATGAGGAACGATATCTCTTAAAGCCTTTCCAAAATCCATACTAGCTTCATATGGCATTTGGGACGGCAAGAAATCTATAGACATATACATTATGTCATTTTGAGAGTTAAAATCAAATTCATCATGAATCTATTGAGATATCGGATTATAATAATAAACAGGGTGATCAGGGTTAGTAAACTTCTTTAAGAATTAGATGGAACCTTCTAAATCACATGTGACATCACATACAGCTTGCAATCTACTATTTCCAGATTCAACTAATTCCTAAAATATATATATTTTTACTTTAATTTAGGAATCGGTAACATATCGAGGAAACTTGTATTCCCAATAAATATCATTAACAAGAATAGTGAGATAGGGTAAATATGTCTAATGGAAAATAGGTTCATAATCTAATGGATTTTCATAATAATCTTAGGATGTAAATTCTTTATGAACATCATGTTTATGTCTGACCAAATCTGTGGTTTTGAAAGGACAAACATAAACTGTGTTTCTATGTTTTTTATCATTAGGGTTCCTAACTAATTCCTTCAAATCCTCTGGGTTAACTAAAGTAATTTGAAGTTGCGACAAAGCCTCCAATGATCCTTTTCCGCAAGAACCAGTTGAACCCATAACTCCAATTATTAAAGGCAACCCTAATTTAGGAGGGAGTCCTCTTTCTATAATGGCTTAACCTGCCTTCTATAAGGCTTCATAAGCATCTTTTTTATTATAATATTAGTAAGTTGGGCCGATTTATAGAAATGGAGTATTCATGTCTCTTTTGAGTAAATACTTGCCGTATTCATTCAAGAATGTGATTATTCCTGCAATTCCAGCATAAGGGAATGAAGTTATGTTAACACCCTATTATAGTATATTATTTGTTTACGTTATCGTCATAAATTCGTTCATACTCCAAATGCCTAATATTTTTCTAAAGCATCACATCCAAGGCTGGCATATTATATGGTTCACCCTCTAAAGTATGAGACCAATTTAAATATGTCATTCCTTCAATATATTTTTCTAGCGGGATTTCTTTAATACAAATAATTGCTCTGCAGATCGATAGATCTTCTTAAACCATGCATCCCACCTCTAAATATTGTTCATCTGTGAAAATTCTCTTAGTTGAAGGCTATACAACAATTTAAATTCGATTATGCTATGACAATTTTGAATTAATTTACTTTTTCCATAATATACTTGCAATCATGGGGAGGGATAGGTGTTCTTCTTTCCATATACGATTTATCTTCAGCTCGTATACCAATAAACAATTTGTCCATTGTTTTCAATAGTAAAAATTATAATAAAGATATGAAAAATATATGTTTAATACGTCGAACTAATGAATTACAAAATAAGATTTACTAAATTTTATAATAATGTAAAATAATTAAAATATTCAATCTTCATTTTATATTATAAATTATATTATAAATGAATGTGTTTATAACAATCAAATTTGAATTTATTTTTCAAAATGATTAATTAACAAATAAATCTAAGCATAATAATTACTAAACCTGTATAAACCAAAATTATTGAGTTCAAAAATCTTTTATTCAAATATTAAATATTTTTAATATTTAAAAATCTCTTACTATTCAATATACTAATCCAATGCAATTTAGATTGTTGAATATTTGCCAAAAGGAAATCAAAGCATAATTAAAGGGTTAACGTTAAACCAAGAAGTAATAAATCAGAAGAAAAAGTAATACTTATAATAAAATATGTAAAAGTAATTAATATATAATAAATATCAGCATAATTTATTAACGTATGAAAATATTCATTAACAAAGAGTTAGTAATATTTTTTAATTATAAAAATGAAGGAAAAAAAACAAAGTAAAGCATTCTAATTTATATTTAGGAATATATTTACTTTCAAAATAAAATGACATAATAAATTAATTCATCTCCTTGAATATATATTTTATATATATTGAAGAAGTTTTTCTTTTTTTCTTATTGTCAGCAACCATTGTTATTTCTTAATGGCTACTTTATTCTCAAATTTCGAAGAGACTTTACATATTCTTTGAGATTGTTTAAACTTAGGCTCTATTCTCTGAATTCTTTTTAAAATTATTATACTCAATAATTTTTTATAGAAATAATAAAAATTATAATTATAAGCTGCTTCAGATATTATAAAATCTTCTATTTAAATGCAAATCGAAAAAATAATTATCTTAAATTCTTCAAAATGATGCTTCAACCTAAAAAGAAAATTCTCTTAAACAATCAAATAATTATAATTAATTTAAAAATTATAAATTTAGTATTTAAGTAATGAAGGTCTAGGTTGATTATTTTTATTTAATTGATTTCAGTTCAAAATAATATTCAAAAATGTGATCAATACTAGATCGCACACTTATAACTTAAATGTTGTAATAAAATTTAATTCTATTAGATAATTTAATAAGTAATAATGAATTATATTTATAACACAATATTTAAATTTATAATTTTATGTTTTTAGTGATAAACTATAAGTATGATGTATAAATAAGAAAAAAAATAAGAAGGAAAATATTATAGAGAAAAAACAATTTGATGATTGTTTGATGAATACTTCAGTTTGAATATTTTGGATGTATGTTAGATTAATCAACCTTTAAGCTTAAATGGATCTAAAAATATTTTACTTCACTTCAGTGATCAATTTAAATTATTCTTAACAAGAAGTTTTCTTTAGTTTTAATATTCATGGTCTTTATATAGTATTTACAAATTGATTTGCTAAATAAAAGTTCCTAATTTGCTAAAAAAAAGTTCTATATATTTGCTTAATTTTCATTAATAATCAATCTATAAAAAAATCTATGATTTGGAATATATAACATTATATCTGATATAATTACAGGAGAAACATCAATACTTTCTTAAGTAGTATGAATAAAATATTCAACTGTAATTATATTGTATTTTGAATGATTGATTATNAATAAATATCAGCATAATTTATTAACGTATGAAAATATTCATTAACAAAGAGTTAGTAATATTTTTTAATTATAAAAATGAAGGAAAAAAAACAAAGTAAAGCATTCTAATTTATATTTAGGAATATATTTACTTTCAAAATAAAATGACATAATAAATTAATTCATCTCCTTGAATATATATTTTATATATATTGAAGAAGTTTTTCTTTTTTTCTTATTGTCAGCAACCATTGTTATTTCTTAATGGCTACTTTATTCTCAAATTTCGAAGAGACTTTACATATTCTTTGAGATTGTTTAAACTTAGGCTCTATTCTCTGAATTCTTTTTAAAATTATTATACTCAATAATTTTTTATAGAAATAATAAAAATTATAATTATAAGCTGCTTCAGATATTATAAAATCTTCTATTTAAATGCAAATCGAAAAAATAATTATCTTAAATTCTTCAAAATGATGCTTCAACCTAAAAAGAAAATTCTCTTAAACAATCAAATAATTATAATTAATTTAAAAATTATAAATTTAGTATTTAAGTAATGAAGGTCTAGGTTGATTATTTTTATTTAATTGATTTCAGTTCAAAATAATATTCAAAAATGTGATCAATACTAGATCGCACACTTATAACTTAAATGTTGTAATAAAATTTAATTCTATTAGATAATTTAATAAGTAATAATGAATTATATTTATAACACAATATTTAAATTTATAATTTTATGTTTTTAGTGATAAACTATAAGTATGATGTATAAATAAGAAAAAAAATAAGAAGGAAAATATTATAGAGAAAAAACAATTTGATGATTGTTTGATGAATACTTCAGTTTGAATATTTTGGATGTATGTTAGATTAATCAACCTTTAAGCTTAAATGGATCTAAAAATATTTTACTTCACTTCAGTGATCAATTTAAATTATTCTTAACAAGAAGTTTTCTTTAGTTTTAATATTCATGGTCTTTATATAGTATTTACAAATTGATTTGCTAAATAAAAGTTCCTAATTTGCTAAAAAAAAGTTCTATATATTTGCTTAATTTTCATTAATAATCAATCTATAAAAAAATCTATGATTTGGAATATATAACATTATATCTGATATAATTACAGGAGAAACATCAATACTTTCTTAAGTAGTATGAATAAAATATTCAACTGTAATTATATTGTATTTTGAATGATTGATTATTGGAAAACAAGTTATAATTCATTAATAGAGAATATCAAGATGGCAGGTTTTAATAAATATTATTATTTGATTGGAATAAATTAGAGTTAATACTATTATATCTAATAGTATAATTAAATTTGATTATTTATTTAATCTTATTTTCTAAGTATAAAGATTATTTGCCAACAAAAAAATGAAAGAATAAAGTATGAAGAATTAAAAAATATGAATAACTATTTTTTTAATATAAACAGTTTCTTAAAATACTTTTAGTGAAAATGTTATACAAAAAGGGAGAGTCACAAAGTAAGATAAAGTTCAATAAATTGATTATGTTTATTGATTATGATAAATTAAAAAATTAGTGATGCTAAAATAACAAAATTTCCATATTCAAGTCACAAAACTTAATCAGATACTAATATTATTTTGTGCCATTCGATCGATTAAAGTCCAAAGACTTAATCAAATAAAGATATTGACACAGATAAATTAAGCTATGAAAAAATGTTCTCTTCAAATGAGGTTGATTTAGAATTTGAAGATTTTGATACAAAACCAACAAATTCATATTAAGTTGTATCTCCTGGTTTATCAATAACTTCATATGATTTAGATTAAACTTAAAAAAGCTCAGATATATAACTTTATGGAAGTGTTTCTTATAATTAAAGAGAAATACCATAGATAGTACTTGCTTTTAGAAAAAGGAGACCAGCTTAAGTTTAAATATCATAAGCAAGTTATTTTAATCAAGAATCATGGAAAACTTTGTCTAATTTTTCATCTCCTGATTCCTCTCCTTTTCAAAATAAAAAAATATAGATTAAATCTTTTGCACTTATTCCCTTGAAAGATGAAGAAGAAGATGAGATATTTAGTGTTTTTAATGATCCATATAACTTTTATGGAACAATATCCTAGACTAAACTTGAGAGTATGAATCATCTATAATAATTTTTAACCTTATATAAGATGAGGACAGGAACATTCCCAAGATAAAGAGAAAATTTGGAGAATGAAATAATAATATCAATTGCAATGAATTTAGCTAAAATAGATAAATAACTATTTAAATAATATTTTCCTTCAAAAAGAGTGTATTTTGATGATGAAAATGATTATACAAGAACAAAAGTAATTAAGAGAAAAGAATAAAGATAATTAACTTAAGTAGTCACTCCAAACTTTTAATACATCTAAAATTGAATAAGTGATATTAATTATATTTGTTCATTTACTTTTAATTTTTGGAAAAGGTTTCTTTGAATTCTTTTCATTTATTAATTATTTATTAGAATGGATACTTTGAATTATCGGTTTTTTACTTTAATGAGGTTTTCTTTCTTACTTTTCAATTTTTATTTTCTCTTCATTTATTTAATTATCTTTTTAAAGCTCTACTACTATTTATTAATTTTTATTATCATTCTATTTTATTTTTATTTTTTCTACTCTCATTTCACCTACACAAATAAGACAGTTAAAATTATGATCATCTAAATTTTCAAGTACTTCTTTAGGTAATCCACTACAATCATAATGTATCCATCTTTAACATCTATCACATTATAAATAACCCAATGAATTATCAAATAATTTTTAACAAATACATTCAGTTGCCCATTCTTCAACTGGAATTTAAAACTTTTAGGATTCAATATTAAATTCTGAACGAGTATAAAATGATCCAGGTTTTGTATCAATATTATTTTAAATTATATCGTTAAGATTATACACCATTATTTTTTTTCTTAATTCCTTACAAAAGAACCATTTTGTTTGTTCTGTTAAAAACAAATCATCTTCTGTACATTCCTTTATTTTTTCATGTACTTTAATTAAATCTTGTTTTTATAAATAGATACGACCCTTAATAAATCCTGCATCTTCACCATTTATACTAATTTTCACTATTTCTTAAATTCTTGCAAACCAAATTTTATTATCCAAAACAAAAGCAGCATCTTCATCAATTGATAATTTTTCATTTTGCTTATGAGTATAGATAAATCCACATTAAACAACATTTTACGGATGAATATCATGAAATGAAGATATAAACAAATCAAACTAATAATATTTTGATTTATTACATTTCTTTCGTCAATCATTTTCAAGAAATTAGGATATGTCTTTTTGTGTATTTATGGTTTTTTGTTTTTAGTTTCTTTTTTTTTCATTTTTAAGTAGAATTGATGAAATTTAAATTATAAATGCAAACACACTATTATTTTATATATATATTATTGGATGTAAATATTAAATATATAAAAAATATTATTATTAAATGGGTTTGAATTATTTATAAAAGAAAAATTGGCATCCAGGTTCTTTGAAAAATTAAGAAATTGTTTGGATTAGAGAATAAATTTAAGCTGATATAATTAAAAGAGAATAAGAAAGAGCTAAAAAATTGGCAGAAGAAAAAAACATTGAAGAATTGAAAAGAATTTAAGTTGAAGCTGGTTTAATTCCAAAAAGTCATTTAGATAGAATGGAATGGATGTATGATGTCAGTAAACTTGAAAAATAAAATTAAAATTCAGCTGAAGAGTAATAATTATTTAAACTTACAGATATCTCCTTGGTAAGACTGCTACCTCATAAGAAGTCGAGAAATTAGCTGATTAAAGAGAAAAAGCTAAATAGACTTAATAATATTAAACAGTTTTTAAAGAGGAAACAACAAATGCAAAATGTGAAGATTTTGTTCTTGTTCATGAAGATCCCATGTTCTAAATAATGAAAGGAGTATGTTATTTAGTAATAATATAAGGAATAATAAGTAAAATAAGTATTATTGTAAAATCCTTTAAAAGTGAAATAATTATAAGAGAAGATAGAAGCAAATAAAAAAATAAAGAAAGAAAAATCACATAAAGATAAGAAAGATAAGAATAAAAAGAAAAAAGATAAAAAAGATAAAAAATCATCAAAAAAAAGTAAGAAAAATAATAGAAGCAGTAGTTCTAGTTCTTCATCTTCAAGTTCTAAAGAACATGAAATTTCTACTGCTGTTTCAACAGGTTCATCACATTCTTAAATTTATTAATAATATTTAAAAGAAAGATTAGGAAATATTGCAGTTACTGATGAACATGGAAATGTTAAAGCAGATTTCAGTCTAATGAAAAAAAAATATAGAAATAATTTAAATCCTTCATAATCTCATGAAGAATTACGTAATTAAATGGCTGCTGATGGATAAAAAAGACTTTAATAATAATTAAAATAAATTGAAGAAGAACCTAAATAATAATAATAATAAGGAGGAGGATAATTTTTAAATAAAATAAGGAAAGAAATCTATAATTAAAATGATTAAAATGCCTATCAAGATAGAATCAAAAGAAATAGACATTTCTAAGAAAGATTTAATGAATGATAGTACATAAAATATAATATTATTATAAACAACATACACATCAAATCATCATTTCTTATTTTCATTTGATAATTCATCTAATAAATCTTATAATTTTGCATTATGAATTTTCTCTTAATATTTTTAGATGAATTCTCCTAATAATTCTCCAGATAACATTTTTTCCATACCATACATTGTTAAATTAGTTCTATGATCAGTTATTCTTTCTTATGGAAAATTATATGTTCTTATTTTATCACTTCTATCAGATCCAGCAACTTAACTTTTTCTAGATTAAGCCATTCTTTCTTATTTCTCTTATACATGAATAGCAAATAATTTATCTCTTAATATTTAATATGCTCTTTATTTATTTCTCTCTTAACTTCTATCTTCCATATTTACAACTTAAATTCCAGTTGGAATATGAGTGATTCTACAAGCACTTTCAGTTTTATTAACATGTTAACCACCTGGTCCACTTGCTTTCATAAATTCATATTTTAAATCTTTATCACTTAAATGAAAGTTATCTGTTACTTTTGGAAGTACAATCATAGAGGCTGTACTTGAATGTAATCTACCCTTAGCTTCTGTTTCTGGAACTCTAATAACTTTATGTACTCCAGATTCACACTTTAATTACTAATATACATTATCACCAGTTATTTATAGAATACCTGTTTTACAACCTTTACCAATCTAAGTATCTTTTT